AAGGAAGGTTGGGCAATCCTACTTCCATAGTGATACTGCCTTGGAAACCCAAGGAGGGGTCGCTATGAGTCGGGGCCGACTCGACAGCAAATAACAACAACAACATGTGGATCATAATAAATTATGGATAACACTGCAAAGAATGGGAATTCTAGAACACGTTATTATGCTCATGAAGAATCTGTACTTAGACCAAGAGGCTGTTACTCAGACAGAACAAGGGGATACTGAATGGTTTAAAATGAGGAAAGGTATCTCTCAGTGGTGTATCCTTTCCCCATACTTACTCAATCTGTATGCTGAACAAATAATCCGAGATAATGGACTATATGAAGAAGAATGCAGTATCAGGATTGAAGGAAGACTCATTAACAACCTGCAATACACAGATGGCACAACCCTGCTTGTTGAAAGTGAAGACAGATGAAGCACTTACTGATGAAAATCAAAGACTACAGCCTTCGGTATTGCGGTCGTTTGGTTTGTGTGTCAACTTGGCTGGGCCTGGTTGAGTGGCTGGGCAGCTGGTGGTAGTTAATCCCCATGAGAAGACTGGCACTCAGCTCCATGGTGGGATCTACCACGAGCAGCTGGGTAGCTGCCTTTGGGTATGTGGTCTGCTTCCTGTATATAAGAGGAAGCCTTTGGGAATGGTCTCTGGCATATGGCACGCTTGGACCCTGCATGTAGCTGTGTCATTGCTCAGCAGCTTACTATGCTCTGCCAACCTTGGGACTTAACGATGGACTTAAGTTAATGGCCTGCCATGTGGTTTGGTAATATCGGGACTGTGCCTTTTTCCTTGTCAACCTTGGGGCTTCTTAGCCTCAGCAGCCAGCAGCTGTCTGAGTGAAGAAACACCTCTAGCTCCAGTGGACTGGGAGCAAGAGGCAGAGCTCGACCCCAAGGTTGAGGGGCTTTCACCTAGTCCCTAGAGCCTGGCACTTTGAACTTGGACTTAAAGCCTCCAAATTGTAAGAACAAACTCCTGTTTGTTAAGGCCATCCCATTTGTGGTATATTTCTTGTCACAGCGGCACTAGGTAACCAGAACAGGTACGGATTACATCTCAACATAAAACAAAAATCCTCACAACTGAACCAATAAGTAACATCATGATAAACGGAAAAAGATTGAAGTTGTCAAAGATTTATTTCATTTTACTTGGATCCATTATCAATGCCTGTTTTAGTTACCTAGTACCACTCTGACAAGAATATACCACAAATGGGATGGCCTTAACAAACATGAATTTTATTCTCTTACAGTTTGGAGGCTGTACGTCTAAGTTCAAAGTGCCAGGCTCTAGGAGCTGGGTGAAAGCCCCTCAACCTTGGGCTTGAGCTCTGCCTCCTGCTGCCAGCCCATTGGAGCTAGAGGTTTTCTTTACTGAAAAAGCTTCTGGCTGCTGAGACTGACAAGCCCAAGTTTGACAAGTAAAAAGGCACAGTCCCGATGTTACCAAACCACACGGCAGGCCATTAATTCAAGTCCATTGAAAGTCCCAGGGTCAGCAGAGCGTGGCAGTCTGCTGAACAACAACATGCCTGCATGCAGGGTTCAAGCATGCCATCAGCTAGAGACTGTTCCTCAAGGTTTCTCCTTATATACAGGAAGCAGACCATATCTGTAAGGCAGCTACTCAGCTGCTCACAGTAGATTCCACCATGAAGTTGATTACCAGTCTCATCATGGGGAATACTACATCCAGTTGCCCAGCCATTCAACCAGGCCCAGCCAAGTTGACACACAGTCTTAACTACCACAATTCCACCCCTTGTCAACTTGGCACCTGTACAGATCTTCAATGGGTGGCATCTGTACAGATTTCATTCACTGGGTAGCTCCAGTCCCCTAGTTCCTGAGTGGCAACCTCACCCCCTTGGCCTGGCGGGCCCCATTCCTCTCCCTCTTGACATGGTAGCCCTGCCCTCTCACTCTTGGGGAGCAGCTTAACTCCATCCCACTGGCTCACATGAACGAGCAGCCCTGCACTCCAGAACCAAATTGGTGAAGGTCTGGCTATTTGAAACCTAGGAGGCTGTGGTGGTTCTACTCCCAAATGCCATGGTCCTACCCTTGAGGCTGAGGCAGCTCTGCTTCCCCTTTCCTTGGTCTCTCCGCTTCGGCTGATTAATGGCTGAAGGCAACCCACTCTGTAGGAAATCTTCCTGCCCCCAAAGCATTCAGCTTTCTTGTTCCATGGGCTACCCAACCTGCTAGTTCATTGCATGCTGGTCTCTTCTACCAATTAATGCCCAAGGGCAACCCAATTCGCCAGGAAGCTGCCTGTACAATGGCATCCAGCTTTCTCCTCCATGGGCTGGTAAGGCTGCCACTGTCTCATGCCAGTCTCTGGGCCCTGCTACTCCCATCTTTCATGCCACATGCCAGGGTCTCTCTACCAGGTCTTGGGTCAAGGACGCACCCCACTCCTATTTCCACATTTTAGGTATCAGCACAGCACCCCACTCTCTTGGTACCATATTCTGTTTTGGTTACCTAGTACTGCTCTGACAAGAATATACCACAAATGGGATTGCCTTAACAAACACGAGTTTTATTCTCTTAAAGTTTGGAGGCTTTAAGTCTGAATTCAAAGTACCAAGCTCCAGGGGCTGGGTGAAAGCCCCTCAACCTTGGGAAGCTCTGCCTCCTGCTCCCGGCCCACTGGAACTAGATGCTTTTTTTTACTCAGACCGTTGCTGGCTGCTGAGACTGACAAGCCCAAGGTTGACAAGTAAAAAGGCACAGTCCCGATGTTACCAAACTACACAAGCTAGGTAATGCTTGTAGGCCATTAATTCAAGTCCATTGAAATTCCCAAGGTTGGTGGAGCGTGGCAGGCTGCTGAACAACATGTCCGCATGCAAGGTTCAAGCGTGCCGTCAGCTACAGACCGTTTCCCAAGGCTTCTCCTTATATACAGGAAGCAGACCACATCCCTAAGGCAGCTACTCAGCTGCTCACAGTAGATTCCACCATGGAGTTGATTACCAGTCTCATCATGGGGAATACTACATCCAGCTGCCCAGCAACTCAACAGGCCCAGCTAAGTTGATACACAAATTTAATTACCACAATGCCCATGGAAGCAGCAGTCAAGAAATCAAACAACATATTGCATTGGATAAATCTGCTACAAAAGATCTCTTTAGAATGTTTTTTTTTTTTTAAAAAAAAAAAGATGTCACTTTGAAGACTAAGATGCACCTGACCAAGTATTTTCATTCATCCCATATGCATGCAAAAGCTAGACAGTGAATAAAGAAGACAGAAGAAAAACTGATGCCTTTGAATTCGAGTGTTGGCAAAGAACATTAAATACACCATGGACCACTAGAAGAATGAACGAATTTGTCTTGAAAGTACAGCTGGAATGTTCCTTAGAAGTGAGGATGGCAAGGCTTCTTTGGACATGTTATCAGGAAGAACCAGTCCCCAGAGAAATACATCATGCTTGGTAAAGTAGAAAGTCAGCAAAAAACAGGAAGAACCTCAGTGAGATGGACTGACACAGTGGTTGCAACAATGGGCTTAAACATAGCAACAATCGTGAGGATGGTGCAAGACCAGGCAGAGTTATTTTTTTCTGTTGTAAACGGACTCAATGGCACCTAACAACTCAATGGCACCTAACAACGCTACAATGAGAGGGACAGGCAGAGGGAGAGGGAGAGAATTTCTGCAGAAATTGTATGGTAATCCTAAACAACACCTGATAGGTGCACATTTATAAAGCAAAAATTTTTTTAGAGGAATTCAGATTTCCGTATGAAGATTTCACATAATTCTAGTCCAGGGCTGTGGAGAAAAGGAGAGAGACCCCTTTCCCTCCCTTTCTGCCGCCCCCACTTCACTCAGGCAGTTGAGGAGTTGGAGAGGGGAATACATCAAACTGAAGTAATTCGTGACTCCAAGATGGTTACCATGGTGAATATCAGACATATTTCACTCTCAGTAGGGCAACAGGAGCTTTAATCCAGCCTTCAACCAAAGGTTTCCAAGGGGGTTAAGCCATAGTCTAAAGCGTGTGGACAGGAAGAAAAACGTCAATCTTTGTGCCACTCAGCACAGACGCTCTGTGAACTAAAACCAATAAAGAAGTCATTTCATGCGTTAAGAGGGAGACCTTACTACCTTCGGGGCTGCTAAAAAGGACAGCCCGCCCCCCCCCCAGGATATGAGAGCTCATTGGTTGTTGGTTTTGTCACTCAGAATGATGGTGCCAGGTGAGAGGACAAGAGGAGGAACCATAGAGACTTGGTTTCGGGCCCTTCTAGCTTGGGTTTGCGGGGTGGGGGTGACTGGGAAGGAGCTGAGAGGACTGAGGCGGCCGTTCCAGGGAGCCCGGCCGAGGAGGTAGGGGTGGGGGTGGGGGTGGCCAATCCCTCAGAGTGTTGTTGCTTGGTGGATCTCGCTTGCCGTTTCTTTTTCCTGAACTCGCTGAACCATGCTCGTCCCATCAAGCGCTCAACTTTGCCTGCAGCTTCCAATTTCCCACCGCCTTTTCTCAGACCTTGATCTCGCCCATACGCCCGCCAGCCAAACTTTGGAGTTCAGCCTCCATTCTACCTCCTTCTGTGCTTCGTTTCCTCTTTTCTCTTTCGTAATCTGCGCCCAGCTTCTCTGGTTTTCCTTCCTTAAACCCGGATCACCAACAAGGTTCTTCGTTCCAGTGCCTGCCCCACCCCTCGGTACCAAAAAACAAACACTCCCCACCACCGCCAAACCCCGCTATAGCAAACACGGTCCACCAACACACGACGCGCACAAGACCCCCTAACAAAATTCACTTACTGAGGAAGCCGAGGGACCGTTTTGCACGGTGTCATGAAGTGTCAGAAGCAAAGGTAACCCCAGGAGCCTGCGGCATCTGAGCCCCAGCACCGCGGGGTCTGGGAAGTAGGGGACCACAGCAAAGGCGGGAACAGATTAATCTTCTGCGGGAGACCGCCCGTTGTTCGTCTGTCCCTGCTCTTTTAGATGGTTTGAATCTATGTTCAAAATCTCAGCTCTGTGATTGAGCTTTCCATGTAGAAAAAGATCCTGGTACACCTTTCCCAGCCATATGAAAGCAGAGATGACAATATGGGACACTCAAGCTCCTTGCTGCCTCTTGCTAAAAAGTGCGGCAGTCCGGGGAATAGTTTTGGTGAAATGTGTTTAAACTGCAAAGTTCAGTTTGGGCTTTATGGAGAATCAGTAATACAAGACGCCAGTTTACCTCTTGAACATAGGATGTACATAGTAGGTACTATGTATATCCTCCGGAGCTCTGGTAGCATAGTGCCTAAGGCACTTGACTGCTAACCAGAAGGCTGGCGGTTCAAACCCACCAGCCACTCCTCAGAAGGAAGATGGGGCAATCTACTATCCGTAGTGATACTGCCTCAGAAACCCAAGGAGGGGTTGCTATGAGTCGGGTCCGACTCGACCGACATATAACAACAACAACATCAATATGTATGTCCTCAGGAGCTCTGGTGGTGCAGTGACTGCCTACCAGAAAGTTGGTTCTGTAAGGATTTACCGCCTTGGAAACGTAATGGGGGTCGGTATGAGTTGGAATGGACTCCATGGCATTGAGTTTGGTTTTTGGTATGTATCTTCACTGCTGTATAAATGATATTAGGGAATTCTTTCAGTCTTTAGGGATTGGAACAGCTTGGCCAAGTATGGAATAAAACTAATTGAAAGAAATCCAGGATATTCACCTTCTACTTGTATTTTTACACTGCAAATAAGTGTATATTGCTCAGCTTCTTAAATACTTGACAGCCATTTAAACAAATTAGCTAGATACTATTGACCAGAGTTGAAGTGCTTTCGAAATCCAGATTATCATATTAGAGATCATTTCTGGTTTTGGACTCTTGAGGTACTACTCTCAATTCCAGGGCAAAGAATATAGTATTCATGATTGTTGGGAGTTTTTTTTACCTTGAATATGCACGTTTTCTATACTTGCAATAGCTAAAAATACTTAAATCCTGATATCTTTGTAATTGATGTGTTTTTAAAATCCTAAATTGCTTACTACTCTTTCTGCCTAGGTCCCTATGTTGACTAATTGAGACTATAAATATGGCCTTCTATACTTATAATACAGTCTTAGCTATTGCCCGAACAAGGTAAGAGTTAGGATTTTTTTCTACAGTATTTGTATGAACTTCAGTTTTCTAGATGGAAAAGATATGTGTAAAACCATAGGCTTGGTACGTAATGAAAACTTTAATGGTTTTAACTATATTGGGTTTTAGGAAGCTGACATTTTAATGTATTTGAACTTAACCTAAATTTTCTATATGCTTTACCTGGAAGCATAGAATTTTATGCTTTAGAACTCAGGTGTATTGTATAAACAACTTTGTAAATGTGTGATATAGGTAAGATGAACTTTTAGAAAGACACTTTTGTAGTTGAGGAAAGTTATGTGAGGCCTGTAAATGTAAGAAAGAAGTGAAATGGAGAGCAAGCCAGTCCTGGGGCATTGACTTGCCCCATTAAGGTTTGTTATAACTTATTTATTTGAAAGAATATTCACTGAGAACTTAGTATGTATCAGATTCATTGTACATTCTAACTTCTGGCAACTCAAAGAGTGATTTCTTCTTGGAAGGCTTCAAAACAGTCTGAAAGAATTGGAAAAGCTTATTTTCCAATAGAAGTCTCTTTTCCAGTAACTTCCTTTGTCTACATGGATATTATTTTTATTTTCAAATAGTCCAATGTGCTACATTAATTGAAGATTGATTATAGGATGCTGCAAAACTAGAATGTAGAAATCTATGGCTGGAGTGCCCAGTACTAATTCTTACTCAAAAATTTCTTGAAGAATTTTAGGTGAAGGACATTTTAGATGTAATTGCCTCTCATTTGAGGGAGAAATGTAGGCACTACATAGACAAAGCAGTATGGGATTACTTAATCCCCATCAGGACTATAAAGTATTTCATTAAAACAGTATTGCTATTCTCAGTCAGGTGACTGACAATACAATCTTCCACCTGTTTTATAACAGTTGATAGAGACAACTTTCAAATATAACCGCTGGTGAAAAAATATTTGCTGTTAGATTTTGAAATTAACAGTTGCAGTGCTTCTAACACCTAATATAACAATTCTTATGAATTAACTTATTAATATTTCTCATGGACTATATTATTCAACCATAGAGCATACAGACTTTTAACTGAGGTAAAAAGCCATATTTCATTCAATAATGAACATCATTGGCTCTTAAAATACAGGCTTAAAAACCATTGTTTTATTTTAATCAGATAAAATATCTGTTTCTTTAAGTTTTAATAGTATGTGCTCAACTCAGAGGATGTTGCTCTTTATTCCAGATTCCCTAGCCTTTTTGTCCATCCTACCTGCTCTTCTTATTCCCCATCACTTGCATATCTTCAGTTGCCAGATTCCCATTTAAATAAAACATATATGAAGAACTATGGAAGCAAGAAGTACTCTCATTCTAGCCAGTCAGGCAATAAAGTTATTTACTTACAAACTAGAATCATACAAAAACTACATACATCAACATGCTGGCTTCAAGAGGTCCCCAGTAAACCTCAGCCAGAACAAACTACAGAACAGCCACAGGTGACAAGCCCTCAGCTCACAAAAGAAACTGGCAAGAAGATTAAGGAAGTAAAGCGATCTCATAGACAAATAATCCTGGATGAACTTAAATATTATTACAATGGATTCTACTTGCTTTGGATTGACACTAAAGTTGCTGCCAGAATGGTTTGGAGGCTGTTGCATGGACAGGTGCTGACCAGACGAGAGAGACGAAGGGTAGGCAAGAGTCATATTTGAGAAAGAAATTGTGAGGTAAAAATTAACTATTTGGGAGCCAAGTTTTAAACTCAACTTAAAATTTATTTTAAAAATCCTGGAGTAGCAATAGTAATTGCTAGTGAGAACCAGAGTTGCTTACCTGGTTTCTTACTTGTCTGTAACTGATTTGCTATACAACTTTAGGCAAGATTCTTAAAATTTGTATATATTTGCCTACCGAATGGTTATGATTATGTTTTCTAATCTTCCCAGGGATTTTTGCATCTGAAGTATAAATTGTTGTTAACATGTTAAGTATAAACTCACTAAATTCACTGCTGTCGAGTCGGATCTGACTCATAGTGACCCCTCCTTGGGTTTCCAAGGCGGTATTACTACAGAAATAGATTGCCCAATCTTCCTTCTGAGGAGTGGCTGGTGGATATACATTCTTAGAACCTATTTTAACATACTATGTTTTTAAAGTATGGGTCCCTAACTTAGATGGAAGCAAAGATATTCTAGTAACCTGTTTTGATTATCATAGAGTTCCCTGAAGGTATGCCATAAATATTACCTCAGAACTATAATAAAGAGGAAAATCTTGCCTTTCAATGATAAAAAATAGCTGTAGAAAATCTGTCTTGGGTTTTTAACACTTTAAAAACCCAAGTCAGGCTCCTTTGGTCTTCTTTTGGCATGTCCCACAATAATGAATATTGCATATGCATTGAATTCTTTAGCTGCTGAGAACTTGTGCTGATCTCTTCCGTCTGGTTCCATTTCTGGTGTTCATAATTGTGCCCTTCATGGAATTCTTATTACCAGTGTTTCTGAAACTCTTCCCAGAAATGCTGCCATCAACTTTTGAAAGTGAGTCTAAAAAGGTATGTAGAATATTTTAACTGTGTGTGTGGTAAAATATGTACAATGTAAAATTTGTCATTTTAAGTATTTTTTGGTGTACAGTTCAGTGGCATTTATTATATTCACATTGCTGTGCAATATCACCACTATATATTTCCACATTTTTTTAAATTACCCTAAACAGAAACTCTATACCCATTCTTCTATAACAACCCATTCTTCCCTCCTTCAGTCCCTGGTAACCCCTAATCTACTTTCTGTCTCTATGCATTTGCCTTTTCTAGATATTTCATATAAATGGACTCATACAATAGCTGTCATTTTGTGTCCAGCTTATTTCACTTAGCATAATGTTTCAAGGTTTATTCATTTTTGTAATATATATATCAGAACTTCATTCCTTTTTATACCTGAATAATCTTCCACTATATCTATATATCATATTAACTTGTTTTTAACCATTGAAAAAAAGGGGGGGGGACAAAAATCAACTACTAAATACTAACACTTCAGATTAATACTAAGATTTCAGAAATAGATAACACATTGAAAGGGCAAAAGAGTAGAATTGAATCAATGGAAGACAGAACTAGTGGCATTGAAGACAAATCTCTCAATACTGCTTTTTTAAGGGATAAATCAGAAACAAGATGAAAACAAAATGAAGAAAGCCTAAGATAAATGTGAGACACCATCAAGAAGAATAACTTATATATGATTGGAATTCTGCAACAGAAACAGACAAATAAAACCACAGAGAATATTGCCAAAGATTTGTTGGAAGACAACTTCTCTAATATCATGAAAAACAAAGATACCCATTCAAGAAGTTCAGCAAACCCTAAATAGGATAGAACTCAAAGGAAAATCACCAAGACATATCATAGTCAAACTCACCAAAACCAAAGACAGACAAAGAATGCTGGAAGCAGCACGGGAAAAATGAAAAGTTACCTACAAAGGGCAACCAATAAGATGAAATTCTGATGTCTTGGCAGAAGCCATTCAGGCAAGAAGGCAATGGGATGACATATGTAAGACCCTGAAATAAAAATATTACTAATCAAGAATTATATACCCAGCAAAATTGTCCCTCAAATATGATAATGAAAGTAGGACATTTCTAGATAAACAGAAATTAAGGGAATTTTTTTAAACCAGACTAACCTGACAAGAAATGCTAATGGTAGTCTTTCAGACAGAGAACCAGCAACAGCAGACAATAGATGATGATTAATGCACATGATGACATAACCCAGAAACCAACCCAGATATAAAACTATCCAAAGTAAAATAAACTTACAAGACTATAAAGAAGGAACAAAAGATATCAATTGGTGAAAGAGGATAACTACAAACCAATAAAAGGGAATAAATAGTGTAGGTGAGAACTTCTAAATGGACAGGAAATCAAGACAAATGCAAGATAGAACAGACTCCTCTAAACTTAGGTTAAAAATAGTAAGTCACAGAGTAACCTCAAAGAAAATTAATAAACTTTCACATCAAAATAAAGAGAACAGGCACAAGTATTTAGCAAATACTAAAACAATAGCAATTAAAAAAATGACTACAAAATTTGTAAACAACATAAGCTCAGCACAGAAAATTACATTGTTGTTGTTGTTGTTGTTGT